CTCAAGAATGGCCTGTTACTGGGAAATGCCATCGAAGCAGGAAATCTCCGTTTGCGTTATTTCCTTTGCGGCAGCCCTTCCTTGGTCTCAGGTCTGAGGAATGCGATTGCTCTGTCCTGTCAGCTGTTCCCGTCTTGGTTTTATGATCTTAGGAAAGTGGTTGCCGGGGCAGGATTCTTACGTGATTATGGCTACAAGTAGTAGAATAAGGCAGTGTTTAAATCGAACAAAACTAATATGGAGCCCAGGTTGTGACATTAGAACACAGAACCATCTCCCAGAAATTCTAATCTGTCTGTACTATTACAGGCTCACCCCTCCCTGCCCAGTCTGGAGCTTGGTCCAGACTCACTGATTCGGCATCAGTGAGCAGGCCCTGGGGGCCCAGGCAGAACAGCAAACATGGCCCTGCCCTCATGCATCTCACAGTCTGGGGAGAGGTGGACTTGATTAGATCCTTGCAAAAAAAAAAAAAAAAAAAATCTTAATTTTTTATTTTATTTTATTATTTCAACTGTGATCCACATTAGCAGGGGGGCTCAGGGGTCCTGGCCTGGCTAGGGGTGTGCACTGGGGTGGCTTTGCTGAGGGAGGGTAGGATTGAATGAAGTGGAGAGGGTCTTGGGAGGGCTGGAGAGCAGAGTGGTCCAGGCCGAGGGACTGTGTTGGGGAGGCCTGGAGGGAGGACGGAGGGGCTGAGGGGGAGGGCCAAGATGGAGGGAGGCAGGAAAGGCACTGGGCCGCCCCAGAGGTTGGGAGGCCAAGCCTGGTCCAGGCCTTCATCCTATACAGCCGGCAGCCACAGAGCACTTTAGGGAAGAGAGTGGCGTGGGATCTGATCTAGGTTTTTGGGGAGTGCCCTTGGTCTCTGTGTGGGGAGTGGATTGAGGAGGGATGGGAGGCTGGGAGACGAGCTAGGAGGCTTCTGTGGGAATATGTACAAGTGTCTGAGGGCACCTTCATGTGGTGAAGGTCCCGGTCTATCAAACTGACAAACCTGAGTTACTAACAGTGACTGGAGGTTTAGCATCAGTTGAAGAGATGCCCAAAGTCCAAACTGAGTCTCTTCATGCGTGTGAGCACCAGGCTACCTGGCTCTGTCGGGTCATGGGGCTTGGGTTCAGGCGAGGTAGAGAGGGCGGGCGAACTGGATAGGCGGTCAGAGGACAGTGCTTGGTGAATGACAGCCATGTCCCCATAGATACCACCTGGTTACTATGCCTTCCTTGATCACCACTGTCCCCTGCACCTCAGGGCAAGGTGTCCCTCCTCTGTCACACCAGCTGCTGGTGAAGATCCTGGCTCTGGGTCATTCAGCCCCACCTGTCACTCCAACTCTGTCCCTTACTGGCTGTGTGTCCCCAGGGGACCTTGGTTTTCTTATCTGTAGCAAACCAAACCTGTTGCTGCTGTGTCAGTTCTGACTCAGGGTGACCCCATGCGTGGCAGGGGAGAAATGCTCCACAGGGTTTTCTTGGATAGAATGCCTCACAGAAACGGACCCCGAGCCCTTTTTTTCCGCTGCACTCTCAGGTGGGTTCTCACTGGCAGCCTTTCTCGTTGAGCGTAAATGTGCCCTGTGAAAGGGGTTAATAATCGTACCTACAACTGTCGAGTTGACGCTGATTTGTGGTGCCTCCATGTGAGTCACAGTAGAGCTGTGTTCTGTAGGGTTGTCAATGGCCATGATCTTTGGGAAGTAGATTGCCAGGGTTTCTTCCGAGGTGCCTGTGGGTGGACTCAACCCTCCAGCCTCTCAGTTAGCAGCGGAGCTCGTCCTTGCACCATCCAGGAGCTCCTCCTACCATCATGTGGTTGTTAATTGCATCATGTTAACTGCTCCAGCAGGGATTCTGACTAATGACCACCCCAGTGTGCATACTAGACCTGTGCTCCACGTGGTTTCCAAGGCTGTGGCCTTTCTGAAGCAGGTCATCACCAGGCCCATTTTCTGAGGTTCCCTTGGGTGGGTCTGAACCACCAACCTTCCAGTGAGTAGTCAAAGTGCTTAGCCGTTTGTGCCATTCAGGCAGCACCCCCCCCACACACACACAGTGGTTAAAAGAAGAAAATGAGATGGTGTGGTTTAAAACCTGTTGCTGTCAATTCTGACTCATAACAATCCTATAGGAGAACTCGAGCAGAACTGCCCCATAGGGTTTCCAAGGCTGTGATCTTTATGAAAGCAGATTGCCTCATCTTTCTTGGGGCAGGACCTGATAGGTTTGAATAGCCAACCTCTTGGTTGGCAGCCAAGCACTTTAACCACCGCACAGGAGTCTTAGGCCTTTTCCCACCAGCCAGGGGAGCCATTTCCTCCTCGTCTTGCCCAGGCTCTGGGCAAGTCTTTTAGAAATGGGGGCCTGGACCATTATCTTGAGTCACCTACAGGGGTTGAATGAATGGTCCTGCTTGCCCAGGCCTGGCTTGCTGTCGTTGCACTGTGTGATGCCCTGTGTCTGAATTGTAATGTGTGGGCTGTCATTTGGGTGTGAGATAGAAGCACTGTGGGCCCCTGAGGGCCACCGCAGGCCACTGAGCATCGACAGATGTTGTCCAGACTGCGTGTTCTGGATTCTGGGTGGGATGCTCCCAGCCTCGACTCCCAGCCCATCCTTCACATGGGGCCCAGCTTCGGACACTTTCCATGATGGGGGCTCCCTCTTTATCTTTCCCACTCCCCTGCCCCTCCCACAGTGTCCAAAAGTGGGCCCCCTTGGGCTCCACAGAAAAACCTGGCTTGCCCAGGTCCTGACTTGTTGTGAGCATGTGTGCACATGTGTTCACACATACACATGCATGTATGTATGCATGCTCACACACCTTGTCACTTGCTCATACACATTCACACGTTTCTACCCATCTGACCCACTCCCACTCACTCTGCTTACCTGCAGCTTTTGGGAGCAGACTTCAGGAGTGCATGACTGAACCCACAGGAGGGTGGTCCTTCTGGGGCCTTATTGATACTTTGGCCTAATTCCCAGTTCTGGTCCCAAGTCCCCTCCCAGGCCTGGCCCCTGCTTGTAATGCCTAGCTGACACCCTGCAAGGTGGCCTGTCCATCCCGCCCCTTAGCCTGGATCCTGCCCAGGTGTTACTTTAGTGAAAGCCTTCACTGATGGCCCTGGCCAGGGCAATATATCAGAGCCCAGTGAAAGGGTCTGGGGGCTCCCAACATCTGAGAAGAGAACACCGCTCCAGTTCCCACAGCAGGGAGCTCTGAGATAGCCCTCCCCAGGCCTGCCCTGTATCCTGCCAGCACTTCCACCGGGACACGCCTCCTCTCAGGCCATGAGCGTGCTGTGTTCCTGCCGATGGGCACGACCCAGTTAGGGCACCCAACTTCTCGCCACCATAATTGATCCAGGGAGGGGCACAGGCTCTGGAGGGGACTTGTGGGGTTGGGTGTGACCTTGGGCAAACTATGTAACTTCTCAGTGCCATAGTTTCCTCAGCTGCACAAAACCCAAAAACCAAGCCCACTGCCAGCCAGTGGATTCCAACTCCTAGTGATCCCCATTGGGTTTCCAAGGCTGTAAATCTTTACAGAAATAGATTGCCTCATCTTCCTTCCAAGGAGCAGCCGATGGGTTTGAACTGCCAACCTTCTAGTTAGCAGCCAAATGCCTTACGCATTGAGCCACCAGAGTTCCTTAGCTGCACAGTGGGGATGGTTAAAGTACACACTTCTTAGGATTGTCTTGCAGACAGAATCATGCAAAGGGCTCAACACACAGAGTAAGTGCCCAATAAATGCAATAAATCTTGAAAAAATCACAAAAACTGCAGACTCATTGCCATGGAGTCGATCCGACTCATAGTGACCCCCCTTGGGTTTCCGAAGCAGTATCACTACGGAAGTAGATTGCCCCATCTTCCTTCCGAGGAGTGGCTGGTGGGTTTGAACCGTCAGCCTTCTGGTTAGTAGTCAAGTGCCTTAGGCACTATGCCACCAGAGCTCCTATCTGCTAATATTGACGGAGCTAGGGAAAGAGGCTCTCTTTTTCCTTTTGCTGGTGTTCCAGAATGTACTCCTTGAGCTGCTGGGAAATCCGGCCATCACCAGAGGAGAGCCTGCCAGACGATGCAGCCAGCATAAAGGAAAGTGGTGCTCAGACATGGCTGATGCTGTCACTCAAGCCCCTGATGCAGCTGTTCCGGAAGACCTAACGACCAAACCATGCTGGGTGCCATTGGTCAATTCCAACTCCTGGGACGCCCCTGTGGCAGAGTGGAACAGCTCCACTGGGCTCGCTCGTCTGCGATCCTTATGGAAGTGGATCTCCTGGCCTTTCTTCTGCAGACCGCCAAAAGCCAGACGCACTGCCATCGAGATGACGTCCCTATTGGGTTTCCAAGGCTGTAAATGTTTATGGAAGTAGATGGCCCCACCTTCCTTCCACAGAGCAGCTGGTGGGTTTGAACTGCTAATCTTCTGATTAGCAGCTGTCTTATCACTATGCCACCAGAACTCCTTAGGTTAGTAGTCCGGCTCAGATGGTTTGTACCTCCCAGGGACTTTCCTGAAAACCTACTCCTGGCACATAAACCAATTAAGCCCTTTCTTCTTTTATTGATTAAGTTACTGAGTTAAGTTTCTGTCATTTGTGTCAAAAGGAGTCTCAACATGTCTTCATCCATCCATCCACCCACCCATCCATCCATCCATCCATCCATCCACAGACCTGAGTTTCACATCTCAGTTCCAACAAGTCCTCACTGTGTGGCTCAGACACGTCACTTCACCTGCCAAGCCTTAGACTCTTTATCTGTTAAATGGCAGTTTCATCACCTACCTTCTGGGGATGGTGGCAAGAGTAGGTCCAGAGTACAACACTCAGAATCAAGCTTGGAGGAGGAGTTCGTAAGTGTCCCTCCACCCAGTCTCTTCAGCTGTCTGAATCCTGCCAACCCTGCCCACCCAGGTATGTCTGAGAAGACCAGGCAGGGTCCAGGGCCCACCATCCCTATGTCCTTTCACGTAGGCAGAATCCAGTGGGTACAGCCTTTATTATTTCTCCAGCATTTTTCCAGAAGAATGGTATCATTCAAGGGCTGTAGGGGTATGGGGGGAGTAAAAAATAACATAAACAAACTGAACAGAAACGCAGGGGGCGGCGAGGGGGCTGGGATTGGGTGTTCAGGGCAGGGAGGCGAAGTCCGGGCAGTCAGAGCCTCTTAGCTTTCAGCCACCAGAGTGGAGAATTCTGCAAGAGGAAATGACAAAGGAAGGTAAGTCAGAGGCGCAGAGGTCGAAGGAGGCCGGCCACGCTCCCAGCACAGAGCTTTCCCTCAGTTAGTGTGTCTGCTGCAGGAAGGAGCAATGGAATGAGTGCACAAGGGAGGGAATGAATGAAGTGAGATGGGAAATGATGGGCCTATCATGTCTTTTGCCTTGTGATATCACGCCACTCACAAATTATTGTTTATAGTAATAACTGTAGGATTCTTGTGACTGTTGGTCAAATGCCAGATATTGTTCCAAGTCCTTTATATTCATTTCTTCTTTATCTCTGACAATAATCTTTAAGGTGCGTGTGGTAGTTCAGTTTGTGTGTCACCTTGGCTGGAACTGGTTGAGAGGCTGGGCAGCTGGTGGTAGTTATTCCCCATGATGAGACTGGCAATCAACTCCATGGTGGAATCTACTGTAAGCAGCTGAGTAGCTGCCTTTGGGTATGTGGTCTGCTTCCCATATATAAGTAGGAGCCTTGGGAATGGTCTTTAGCCTATGGAACGCTTGGACCCTGCATGTAGCTGTGCCATTGCTCAGCAACCTGCTATGCTCTGCTGACCTTGGGACTTATGACGGACTGAAGTTAATGGCCTGCTGTGTGGTTTGGGAACATCAGGACTGTGCCTTTTTACTTGCCAATCTTGGGACTTCTCAGCCTCCGCAGCCAGCAGCTGTCTGAGTGAAGAAAAGCCTCCAGCTTCAGTGGGCCAGGAGCAGAAGGCAGAGCTGGACCCCAAGGTTGAGGGGCTTTCACCCAGCCCCTAGAGACTGGCACTTTGAACTTGGACTTAAAGCCTCCAAATTGTAAGAATAAACTCCTGTTTGTTAAGGCCATCCCGTTTGTGGTATATTCCTGTCAGAGCAGCAGTAGGGAACCAGAACAGTGCGTATTATCATCATCCCCATTCTACAGATGAGGAAACCGAGCTGCAGAGTTCAGCAGTTTTCACAGGGTCACACAGCTAGCAAGAGGCAGAGCCAGCATTCAAACCCAGGTCTGTCTGACTTTGGACCTGAGCCACTTGGTAGTCATTCCCACACTGCCCATCAGGATCTCCCACAGAATTAAAAAGAAGCCCAGATTCCCAGAGCCCTGCCCTGGCATTTCTGACTTTGGAGGTCTGGGGTGAGAAACCAGTTGTCATGGTTCTGATGAGCAGCCAGGTTCAAGGACGACCATGCCCGTCCTGCCGCCATCCCAGGGGGACCAAGTATGGCCCTAGAGAGATCTAAACACGGGCTCATTTCCATGCAGCTCAGAGAAGCGAACACGGTTGGGCCCTCGGAGTGAGCTGGGCTCTGTCTCACAGCAACTTAATTAAACTGGGGTTATTATCTGCATTTTACAGAGGGGAACACTGAGGCCCAGAGAAGTGAAGTGACTTTTCAGAGCCTCCAGGGCTCAGTCAAGATTCACGTTCTCAGGCCCAAGGTCCTCCTTCATTCCCCTGTCACAGCTGCTAACCTTCAAGTTCACCAGGGGCTCACTTGTCCCTCCCAGCAGTATTCATCTGTCAAGCTCTGAAGATACTAATTACTAATGTCAGTGACCAGAGCTGGCACTAGGGGGCGATCAAATGTCTTGCCATTGAATCCAACTCAGCCAAAACTAACAAAGGAACAGGCCCAACCCGGTGAGGCAGATACAGGGAGCCAGGAGCTGATCCCCAACAACAGGAGCTTCTCAAGTCAGGAAACAGGACAGGTGAGAGTGCTGTGCCTCACTCAGCACGTTTTCTCTAATCTCCAGCATGGTGGGGCGTTCCCACCTCAGGTCTTCACACCGCTGCTGTTCTTGCTGTCTGGTCCACTCGGCCCAGTTTCTCTCACCACATCTCCTTCTTACTCACTTGCTCTCGGCAAAACTGTCATTCCTCAAGGGGCCTTCTCTGACGCCCCTGGTGAAGGCAGTGACCTCCCTCCGCCCCTGCGATCCTCTCTTCTGTCACCATGTCTCACTAGATCCCCAGCCTGACTGCTTCCAGAAGAGTTTTGAGTTTCTACTGGCTGCCTTGATGCCATCTGCATTGTAGCACAAGCTCCTGGAGGGAGGGCAGGGGCCGCGCGCTCCCCCAGCACCGCACAGCGCCTGACACCGGGGAGCATGACCATCAGTGAAAGGACAAAGAGGTGCTGAGGGTTCAAGTCTCAAAGGGAGGAGTGTGCCTTCTACTTAGGGAGCAGGCAAACTTCAAGAGGGAAGGTGGCTTCTGATTGAGCCCTTTAGGAAGGGGCAGCTTCCCACAGGGAAAAGCAGATGGAGAAGGGATATTTCTCTGTGTTGGGCTGGAGTCACGTGATGTAGGACAAGCCCAGCTGAGGAGGCCTGGCCCCAAAGCCGGTTCTGCCACTTGGGCTGTGTGACTTCAGATAAGGCACCTGACCTCTCTGAGCTCACTATCATCATCTGTAAAAGGAATAGAAGTTGGAGCCCCTGTGGTGCAAAGGGTTAATGCACTAGGCTGCTAACCAAAAGGTTGGAGGTTTGAGGCCATCCAGAGGTGCCTTAAAAGAAAGGCCTGGCATTCTCCTTCTGAAAAATCAGCCGCTGAAAACTCTATAAGGAGCTCTGGTGGCACAGTGCCTAAGGCATTTGACTGCTAACCAGGAGGGTAGTGGTTCAACCCTACCAGCCACTTTGTGGAA